CGCTGTCTCGTCAAATTGTTACCCAGATAATGACAATCATAAATCTGGTATTTTTTGTCGGTATTGATCTAAAGGTCCAATCATCCAACCCAAAAGCGCACTCTTTTTCAATTATTACAGTCAGAAAGTGCCAGGAATTGACTTCTTATGACCTATTTTGGTGAATCACTCCCCATAGAGTAATGTTAAAATATAGCTTTCTGAAAAGTTTTCGATGGGCGCCTTGGTCTGTTCCTGTTATAATATCTTGTACGTAGTGATTCAATGCAAATCTAATACTCCTATTAATTTATTTCTATGAAGTTAACACAAAAACATAGGCGCCGCCTGCCGCCCGGCGCCCCTTGTCATGGGCGCCCCGATGCGGTGCATCTTTCGCTTACCGTGTTATGCCGGCCCTTCCAGAAGTGACTTCTGAGGCCCAAATCTACAAGAAAATGTATTTAGTTAAATTTCGAAAATCGCCGAGAATGGGTCGAAATTTGTATACTGGTGGTAATACATATTGGAAAATTTCATTTTTGAAAAATTCATCTAAAAATTCTGAAAAAATTAAGGGTATAGATCCCGACGTGTTGATTCCAAAAAGAGCGTGTTTATGGTCACGGAGTAATATTTTTTTAGAATGTATCTATTATCCATTGTTGCTCAAGAATTCTTTAATTTTGTTTAATAAAATTAAGGTTTCTTTCTTGAAGTTTGTTTTCAACTGTGTACGACGTTTTTATTCAATTCCCTTTCAGATTTTTGGGAAAATCACTGATCCAAACAAATCGTTAATCCGAACATCCCTTTTTCCCAATTAATTCGGATTATCGAGGTTCTACTGTACACTATACGTGTAACGAAAACAACCAAATGTCACCCATGTTATGTGAAACAGAGTATACTAGCTAAAATTTTATAACTTTTTTTGTTTAGAACGAATTCTCGGACTTAAAACCGCACAAAAATTGCCCCCCCCCCCCCCCCCCCTAAACGAAATCCTGTATCCGCGCTTGGCCCCGGCGCAATTAATGGTTCCACAATGCACAATCTAAGTAAAAGGGAGACACTTTTATTTACAGGCTATTTTATTCTGAATGACGCAAATATCTAGTTATAACAATAAAGTAATAATAACTAAAAATAAGTTTAAATGAACATAAAAAAAACAGAATTGATTTATTTCATATCAATAGGTAAGCTATGAAAAAACTTATCATTCTATACTTTGCTAAATATAAACCAGTGGAAATGGTTACAGGCATTTTGTACTACCACAGTAGAGAAAAACGACAACGCACAGATCCATAACATTCAAAAATGTTCCAAAAGTTGCTATTTCATTTTTATGATTTCCTGCACAAATATTTAAGTTTTGGCTTAATTATTCTATTTTGTCGAAATTAAGGATCCAAATTATTGTTATTTGAAAACATGTTTTTGAATTTTTTTTTCATGTCTTTGGAATAATAAACTTAGTCTCGCTTTTGGTGCTAAGAATAACAAAAAAATATATATTTTTAAGGCACTATTTTTGCTTTTATGAATTTTAAAAACACCATAGGCTATCTCTTAGCACCACTGGATGAATGAAATAATGAAACTTCAAATTTGACAACTTTTTTTCGCCAACTTATAATAACAGGAATTTTATCTATTCAGTTTAGCCAATTCTCTCACTTATAATACTCGCCCTATCTGAATAAACATACCAAGATTCCAATAATTTTATGAGACACCTTTAGGTATATTGATCTAATGTTAATTTAAAGAAGTGCAGTGCCACAAATCCCGGTTCTTTGAAAAATTAAAAAAATAGATTTTCCGAATTTGTATGCAACAAAACAAATACAAGAGTATGCTGATTTATAAAATTTAGGATCATAAATATTTTTGAGATGTCATAACATTGATAGGGAGATGGGGTAAATTTTGGTTAGATATTCTTAACATACATATAAAATACAATCGGTCCGGTAGTTTTGGAGATTATCTGCGTAATAAAAATCTGAACAGACAGCACACAGACTCATACTCTATGGGTCATGAAATGTCGAGAAAACATAAAAGTATCCAGTCGCCTCCTGATAGACTCGATTACAATACTTTCTTTGCTTACGCTCAGGAAGTAAAAATAAAATTCACAAAATTAAATTTTATAATTTTTCGAATATTTTGTATTTTATAAACGTTTATTCCCACAACACCGAAAACACAAAATATTTGTCGACGGGTTTCGCCAACGACGTTGACATTACCTAAAGCTGAACTCTGTATTTGTTCGACTGTATTTCAAGGGTGACGGAAGTTGTGTATAAGCAACCCTAGGCCCCATTTTTGTTCAACATTCAGTAACACACTTTACTTGGCTACAATATCCACATCACGTTTGTTTATTGGACGAAATGTTTATATTTGGACGCATCGCTGACGGTCACTCCGCCGATAAGCACTGATGTTACACGTTATTTTTGTAAAGAATCCGGAAGATACTTTTTAATGCATTCATTAATGAATCATACTTTAGTTTTATTTATTATATCCAGTGCATTGATTGATGTATAGCACCAACAATAATGGAAAAATACGAATGCGTTATAAAGCACATGGATAAACTGCAGTGTAATAATAACAGTTATCTATTCCATTATTGTATTCTCACATTGCGAAAATGGGATGTGCTGTTTCTGATTTGAAGGAAAAAAAAAGTTGGAAAGGCCGAGAATCGCACCCGGGTTGCCCGGGTCTTTGGTATTACTAGGCGACGTATTATGCGGTAAAAGAACAATGATGCTGAGATTGCTGAGCATAATAATAATATCATCAATAACAATAATAATAATAAAAGAAGAAATCCACACCCCCCACACAATAGATAAAATAATAAGTGGGCTAAAACAAAAACAACTACATGGAAAATTCTACAAAGACTTAGAAGAAAATCATGTCAATAAGAAGATGTCATTGATTTGGTTAAAAAAATCAAGTTTGTATGCCGAAACAGAAGGATTTGTGTTTGCTATTCAAGACCAAGTAATCAATACCAAGAATTATAGAAAATACATCATCAAAGATCCGAACATAAAAAACGACTGCTGTCGCCTATGCAAAGCAAAACCTGAAACGATCCAGCACATAATCTCTTCTTGCAGCATCCTAGCACAAACTGATTACAAAGCTAGACACGACAACGCAGCCAAAATCATTCACAAAGAATTAGCAACACTTATGAACTTAATCGAAGATACGACACCCTATTACACTTATATTCCGTCTCCATTCCTTGAAAATAACAAATACAAATTATACTGGGATCGCACAATACTTACAGACTTAAACATTACAGCTAACAGACCAGACATCATACTTATCAAAAAACACACGAACGAAGCCATTCTTATTGACATTGCTATTCCTAACACAAACAACATTATTCAAACATACGACACCAAGATTTCAAAATATCTACAATTATCGATAGAAATGAAATCCATGTTGAATCTTAAAAAAATTTCAATTCTACCCCTAGTTATCTCTAATGTAGGTGTAGTTCCAAATAGCTTAGTTGAGAATTTAAAGTCTTTGCATTTGAATGATTCAATAATTATCAAAATTCAAAAAGCTGTTTTGTTAGGAACATGTCATATTGTTCGTAAGTTTCTTGAACAGTCTGATCATGTCAGTCAGATTAGATTAGCACCAGTAGGTCAGAGTAGTGTAGGTCACTTTTCATGTGATGCGCGGATAAATGGTCGGTAGTTACGCTGGACTTTTGGGGATGGGGTGAGATTAGAGAATAATAGCAGACTAATTTGTATGCTGTAATTCTAGAATCTCGAAAGTTGTTCTGTTAATCTAATCAATTCATATCATTACTTGGTCTTAGTACCCGTAATGATAGAAGTCTTGCCTGAATGCCGGTCATTTCCGGGTCAGTGGTGGGTCTTAATAATAATCCTAGCACAAACTGACTACAAAGCTAGACACGACAACGTCGCCAAAATCATCCACAAAGAATTAGCAACACTTATTATGAACTTAATCGAAGATACGACACCGTATTACACTTACATTCCATCTCCGTTCCTTGAAAATAACAAATACAAATTATACTGGGATCGCACAATACTTACAGACTTAAACATTACAGCTAACAGACCAGACATCATACTTATCAAAAAACACACGAACGAAGCCATTCTCATTGACATTGCTGTTCCTAACACAAACAACATTATTCAAACATACCACACCAAGATTTCAAAATATCTACACTTATCGATAGAAATGAAATCCATATTGAATCTTAAAAAAATTTCAATTCTACCCCTAGTTATCTCTAATGTAGGTGTAGTTCCAAATAGCTTAGTTGAGAATTTAAAGTCTTTGCATTTGAATGATTCAATAATTATCAAAATTCAATTTTGCAATTTTTTTTTTAATTCCCACTACAAAAATGTAATGAGAAAAAAAACACAATAGGCATGCAGTCGTCAAGTTTCCGACAGCGAGGAAAGTACTGTCTAAACTCTTTAGACCAATTTTTTGTAATTAGCACTGTTGCTAAAATAAAAACAGCAAGACTTTTACATCTCAATTTTGTAGGCCCGTGATATTAGTGATTCTGATTCGTGTATTTCATGAATGATTGCAAAGTGTTTAATACATCTCAGTAATACATGAACGATTATTTTCAAATTCTGTAAATACTGGACTGTAAATATTTTCGAATATAATCCATTATTTGGCGTGAAATTAAAATTGAATCACGCGGTATTTTCCATAAATTACAATCTCATTGGTAGAAGTTGTCAAAATGCCGTTACCTTATTGGTTAGTTGAAAGCCCAACATAGGATAGTATAGCATATCGTATCCACTAGAGTAACAAAGATAACTATATTAGACGGTAGAGAGGGATAGCATTATTGGATATTGTAGTGAGGAGACAAAGATAGCTAATTATGTCATGTCGTAGATATGTTGACAACAGACTTTACCCATCGTGACTGGATACTGGATCAATTTCACTATAAACATCCCTGCACCCTGCTTGCCACGGACCCACCTTTATGCTTGCCAACTTGCCAAGCTTGCCAATCAACAATCAACAGACTTGTCCAGTTCTTGTAAACTTGTCCGACTAGGGGTCGTGACGGTCGTGACCGGCCTCGAATTTGACAACGGCGCGAATCTTGAATCAAACTAATGTGTTTTTTTATTGGTGATTTACAAACGGGATAGACTTCCTCATTAATCAGAAAATTATTTTGTTTGCCCTTCTTTAAATACAATATCCTTTTCTTTATCGTACCATGTTTCTAATTACGACTATAAAAAAAAATACATATTAAATTTGAAAATGAGGTTAAGTTGTTTTAGGTTAGAGGGGTTTTTAAAGTTTTTTTAAGGTAACTACGTATTTCTCAATATTTCTAATGATTGTATATGAGGCATAATGTAAATGAAAGTTTTATGAATGCTTTCAATTTCAATTTCGCCATTTAAAATAAACCAACAAAATGCTATACATTTAATGTGTTATGTGATTTGTGTATACCTTACATCTAAGTACATACAATGGATAAACTATTGTCCGCTAATATAAAAACGGTAACGACCTTAACAAACCAAAATATTGTCAGCGTTTCTAAAAGGCATATTTGCTACAGGTATTTCAGTTCTTAATTGATGGCAGAATAACAGTTTCAGAACTGATAAGTAACACGTTGGAAAAAGCCCATCGTCTGAAGAAATACAATGCTTTTATAACTCTCACAGAAAATGAAGCACAACAGAGAGCGCAACAGTCCACACAACGTTATAAAATCAAAAAACCTCTTTCAGAACTTGATGGAATTCCTATTGCAATTAAAGACAATTTTTGCACATCTAATATTAAAACAACATGTGCATCACGAATGTTATCTAATTTTATTCCAACATACAATGCTACAGTATATGAACGTTTAATTACTGCTGGTGCTATATTAATTGGGAAAACAAACCTAGATCAATTTGCAATGGGCTCAGGAACAGTAGATTCAGTTTCAGGACCTGCAAAAAATCATTGGATGTATAATGAAAACAATGATAACTTTTATATATCTGGTGGTAGTAGTGGTGGCAGTGCAATTTCTGTAGCTACAGGAACATGTTTTGCGTAAGAATTCTTACATTATCATAACAATCGCTAATTATTTTGTAGAGCTATAGGTTCTGATACAGGAGGATCAACTAGAAATCCAGCTTCATATTGTGGACTAGTGGGATTAAAACCAACTTATGGTTTGGTATCAAGATATGGATTAATTCCTCTAGTGAATTCCATGGATGTACCAGGAATTCTTACTAGAACTGTTGATGACTGTGTCGTTGTCCTTAACTGTGTTGCTGGATTTGATCCCAAAGATTCAACATCACTCACAAAACCATATAGAAAAATCAGGTAAATAGTACAAATAATTGCATGGGGATGATGATTATAAATATTTTTTTAGATTACCATCAGTTAACAAACTAAGTATTAAAAACTTGAAAGTAGGTATTCCTAATGAGTATCACTGTGAACATCTAGATGAAGAAGTTCTAGATGTATGGAATGAAGTTGCAAAATTACTTGAATGTAATGGAGCAAAAATTCAGCAAGTATTTTTTTTTTTTTTTTTGATCTGGTCATTCTATGGCATCAATTTATTATTCTTTAGGTGTCTATGCCACATACTGAATACAGTATTGTTTGTTACTCTATTCTTAACCAGTGTGAAGTGGCAAGTAATATGGCACGATATGATGGCATTGAATATGGATTTAGAGCTAAGGAAGATGCATCTACAGAAAAATTATTTGCTACAAGCAGAAGTTTAGGTTTTAACGAAGTTGTGAGAAACAGAATTTTGACTGGCAATTATTTTCTTCTGACAAGGTAGTTATATTAATTAATAGAATTTCTCTGAAAATCTTGTCTTAGAAATTATGACAAATACTTTAATCAAGCACTGAGAGTTAGACGATTAATTGTACAAGACTTTGATGAAGTATGGGAGAATGTGCAATTGCTGTTAACACCAACAACATTAACTACAGCTCCTTTGTATGAAGATTTTGTGCAGAAAACAAATCGAGACCAGTGTGCTTTACAAGATTACTGTACTCAACCAGCAAATATGGCTGGTTAGTAAAAAATATATAATTTTTTTAAATATATATTATTGCAATTATTACAGGTATTCCTGCCGTAACATTGCCTATAAAATTGTCTAGTAAAGGAATGCCGATAAGCTTACAAATTATGGGGAAAAATTTAAGTGAACCAATGCTCTTAGCTTTAGCAAAATATATAGAAAATGCTGTACAATTCAAACATTGCACTGAAATTTAAAATTTTTACAGTTGCATTTTTTTTATTTAATCCTCTCCTGCTGGCATTGCATCTTCCAGTCTTCGTATAAACTTCACTCTAACTTCTGTGTTTTGATCTCCCTTTAGTTGATCCTAAAATACTGTAGTGAGTCATCTAATAAGTCTTTTTGATAGTTATTACTTGCACAATCCAACTTTGAACATCAAGTTGCACCATTTCAAGGGCTCCCCTAATTACACCACAAATTATGTTACAATATTTTAAATTTTTTAGTTCATCTGGAAGTTCTACTAAATCAGTTAAAGGATTTGAGTCTAAAATGAACGAAAATTCATCTCCAGCTGCACTCCAATTAGCAACATTTGGTTGTACTCCTAAATACATCCGAAAAGCACTCTGAATTTTATCTGCTGTATCTTTTAAATCAAGACAACGTCCAGTTCCTGTTTTTGCGAGAAAGTCTTCAATCAATCTGATACCCATATTATAACCTAATCGTTCCAGTTGTTTACTTACATCTTCTGTGTTATCCAAATCTTTTATCATTTGTGCCACTAATGCTCCATACGTTAAAGTAACTAATTCCGAGTTCTACGAACGCTTATTCAGAAAATTTAAAAAACATGAGAAATTCCACATACCACTTTTTTCGTATCAAATCGTGTTGAAGCCCGCGACATTTTTATGTCTGATTGACTACTATTTATACGAAATTTCTGCCAACACTACGAATCCTTAAATGTGAGCAAATTGTTATTATTTGTTGCTTATGAAATATGTGCTATTCAAAAATTAATATTACAAAACTATTGTTGCTATACTTGCTGTCACTCATCTGTCATCTGTCATTTAGCTTACTAGTTCCTGTCAGAACGAAACGTGATATGGGCGGGGCCCCTATAAAAGATATGTTCCAGTTCCAGCGAAAATAATGATGTAGGTAAAGATAGGCAGAAATAAGTTTTTGACTCCCACCACACAGTAACGAGTGTCAGCGGTTCCCATAAAAAATACATGGGGAGCTTACGGAATGACATAAAGAAGTCACTAGTTGTCCCTAAGTGGACTCCGAAGAACCTAGTTTTTCTCATTTTAAGATTCTTTGGTTCTTATCTTGTATGGTTTTGTCAAGAAAACGATCATGTATTGATTCCGACCGTGGAAGCCTCCGAAATTATATCCAGTGACGTTTCGGACAAAATTTTTCTTTTAAAAACCATACATTATGAATATGTAATATCTGTGAAATCAACTAAGACGGGTGTGATAACAAGTCAAAAACAAATTGATTATTTTTTATTACAATTAAAATATTTACATTTGGCATTAATTTTAACATAATACATACCTGACTTCCAACTGTTATATATAAAAAATACAGCAATGATTATGAGGCAAATATTACTTGGCAGAAACCAGCAGTCATCTTTTAAATAAAAGCAATTCAATTGACACAAAAGGCCCAGTGAAGTCATAAAACATGCTAATCTGATATCAAAGTTTCTTAACAGTGTATAATCATTATGAAAGTCTACTAGTCACAAGATCCAAATAACATCACGTCTTTGAATATTGTGAATATTTATGGTCGACTTCTACAAAACAATGACTAATTAAAAAAAAAAAAAACGGCTTCGTAGCTCATTATACATATTTATTACAATAGTTTAAAAATTCTCACGTTGCCCAAGTGACCTAACTGGGCCTTTTTAATTTAAGGTCATAGGCACCTAATGGTAATTTGTACTCAAATCACAAATAATCGGTAATTAAAACTGAATCATATTTGATGCCAACAACCATTAAAAAAAATATTATCAACAAACTTATTAATGCAAAGAAAAAATCATTCCTAGCTGCTAGTTTGAAAATAATACAAACATGATTAAGTCTACACATATTTTTAATGACTGGTGAATTAATTTTCCCTTTCCTATAAAATAATGGCTCTTATCAATTATATTTATTATATACAAAAGTTGAGATTTGAGTGGAGCTGGTAGAGAGAAATTGAATCTCCAACAACTTAATATGTACCTATAACTTATTACTTGTTGATGCGGCATTCAGTCTTCCTTATTTCCCTGTATGTCATCTTTAGTTTTTCAGACACATATTTCTCTCTTGCAAAGCATTTGAAAAAAGATATACAGCAATGCGTTTTAGTGCTTTGTTGAGCATGAAATCAATTAATCCTTACAATAACAGTACTTTCTGAGATGTGGATAATCGTTTTCTATACATCTTGCTTGTTTTCCATACATATTAATTCTACTAATGTCACTCATTTTAACAGAAAATTCATCTTGTTCAATGAAATAACTAACACTCGCTTCAAATATTGAATTTCCAGGTACTAAAATCACTTTAATTTGATATAAATCAGATTTCAATGTCATTTTGGCTGACAAATCAGCCACAAATCCATCTAAATCCGCATTTTTATTAAATTTAACGAGATTTTCATTGGGGGCCATTTTCATAACCCATTCAACTTTTGATAAACTTAATACTTCACACAGATGCCGATGTGATTCAGTATAATTATTTAAAGTTGAAATCAAAACATTTGCAATTCTTTGAGTAACAGGTGCTGACACAGAAATCTTCTCCCAATCTAAACATGCGCACCAATGTGGTTCAATGTATGCATGAGCACAACTTCTTTCACTTGGTATCTAAAATACACCTGCATCATGTAATAATCCAACAGAATAATAAACTTCACCTTTGTAAACAAAGACACTGCCCTATTACTGATATCTGCAACTCCAATATCATTCAAATTTACAATACTTTTTAGTGTAGCGTGAACATCAAAAGGTGTTGATAATTTATCAATATTTTTCCTGAAATTCTCATAAGCTTGTTTAAAGTGATCTTTGAAGTTACGTGGAAAAGTAAATGAAAAAAACGGCAACCTTTCTTCCTGTTTTCCTTGAAGTGTGTTTCTTATTTCTGCAAATCTATAACACACATTAAAATGAATGAATAAAAGAAATACAACAAAGTACCTATGACCATGATCTGCCATTATTATAAGGATTGTATCTTCCAATATACCTGAATGATTTAAATACTGCAAAAATTGATACAAATCATCGTCAGCGACTCCTACCAAATTGTAATCATCATGCGATAATTCACCATGAAAGCCAAACAAAAACTTTGGTTTTTGTTTGTAAACAGTGAAAAACTGTAACATGATGATCAAATCAGAAAGTTGTTATGATCGCGTTATAAACACTTTACATTTTTTATCTGATTTAACATAACCTGGTGTCTTGGAATCTCTCCTGCACATAATTTAGGCCACTTTCGTCTTTCTCCCAGTGATGCTAGATAGTATGGCCTCATGTAATGATCAGTTGGTGTTTCCTGAAGCCATCTTCATTTAATATCAAGGATAATTTACATAAACACAAAACAGACATTAAAACCATTCAGGCGATAAGTAAAAGTACCTAACTCAGGCACATCTTCAAAAAAGGCAGTTACATATCCAGCATCTTTATAATCATTCCAAATAAAGGGGTATGAATTAACAAATTTAGTGTTTGAAAACCGTTTCCTAGTGTCTGGTAGTTCTAACTCCGTCTTACCAGTCAGTATTGGAATTAATGCTTGCGGTGTACCGTCACCTATTATGTTGTAGCTACAATTTTAACTTTAGATTTTAAAAATCACCTAACTAATGGATTACCCTTGCAAAACATCTCCATGTAATATTTTTGTCAAATAGTCATAACTTTTTGGCAATTTTCTTATAAATGAATTTCTTGAAATAGAATCAAAACCAAACATTAATACATTGAACTTTGTAGCTGTGGGGGGTAAATTATTCCAGTTTGCTCTTGTCCAAACACTCTGGTCCAATCGTATACCAGTTAAAGTTGAGGACCATTGACTATTGGATGATTTACATAAAACTCTAACCTAAGAACAGGATGTTTTAGCAATTATAATAATGCATTTGTCCATCTACATACAACATCACTTGCTTCCAGTTTATAATAAGAATCTGATTCTGTAGTTTCACCATTTGTTGATTCAAAATCGTTTACTCGAATTATGTCTGTAAATGTGCACGTCACTCGACCGAATTTCTCTTTAATATGTTCTTCAATTTTACATTCACTTCCCTAGCAAAAAAATAATATTAGTGTTCAAAAGTTAATTATTCATTATCATTTACTTCACATTTAACCCAGTCTTTTCCTGCACTCGAACAAACTATTGGAGGTTCCTCATGGATAAATTTCATTATTTCGGACGAAAATACTGGAAGTCTAGGTTGTTTGCAAGCTAAGGAACTTGCTTGTGAGTGAATAAGTTCATCGATTTTTTCACTATAATGAATAAGATGTGTATGTATTGTTATACTGATCATTGTAACTTACAGTCTAAACTTTCTATCAACATCATTTATGGGTGAATTGCGGGTTACTGTAAATAGAATAATAATCAAGAAAATTGAGAATAGTACAAGTAATAATAATTTCTTCATTTTCATTGTACTAAATATTCTCATCTTGTCTCACACAGAAGAAACTGATATTGTTCGTCACCTACTCCCCTTATTATTGGAACAGTTGTGGCTCAATGAGCTCGCAGTATCATTTTTTACCAGCTTTGTGATAACGAGATAACGTTGTAAAAAAAAATGTTCGTGTTCGGAGCACTGTGATAAAATTGAAACAAATGCATTTCCACATATGAGGATGTAACGTTACATTTTTGTTGTGATGCTTGAAAGAGTAGAAGAAATAGAATACAAGATTATTATATCTAACAACTCATCGTCACTTTAGTATAAATATTTATTATATATTATATTAGGAAACCACGAATCTTATTAGAATTTTTCGTTCACATGGATGTTTAAAAATATACCAGCAGCGTATATACCATTGTACCAGTACCAAGTATACCAGCCATATGATCGCTGTGATGATCGCGTACAGTCGACCAGCAGTTGACAACAGTTGCAAACAAAATTTTTAGGTTAGTTAGGTTAATGGTCCCCAAACAAAACTTCAATGTTTTATAAATCGTAAATATCTTTAATTCTATTTCAGAAATACCAGTAAAACAAGTATTTACAATGGAACTGGATACATCTTCCGTAATAGACAATGAAGAATCTTTTTACGCAAATGCTGTACAGTATTGGTCTGAAATTCCCGCGACTATCGATGGAATGTTGGGAGGTTTTGGATGTATATCACAAACTGATATTAGGGACTCTAAGTTATTGTTAAAACAATTATTTAATTCAAAAGAGCCCCCGCAGAAAGCATATGCATTAGATTGTGGTGCAGGTATTGGTAGGATTACAAAACATCTACTTACAGAATTTTTTGATAAAGTCGATCTCGTTGAGCAAAATCCACAGTTTTTAAATCAAGCCAAACTTTATATTGGACCAAAGCTACAAACGAAAATAGAGAACTACTATTCTGTTGGGCTACAGAGTTTTGTACCTGAAGAAAACAAGTATGACGTTATCTGGAGTCAGTGGGTTCTAGGGCACCTAACTGATTCAGATCTCATAGAATTTTTAAAGTCTTGTCAGTAAGTACGCAAAAATAACTTGATAGAAAATTTTATTTTCGTAACGTATTTTACTCAATACAAAAATCATGTTTATTTTATGATTAAGGTAGCTACAATTTGTTAATTCTTTTTTTCAGAAAAGGTTTAAAACCAAATGGAGTCATCATAATTAAAGAAAATATTTCCTCAACCAATGATATTGATAAGGATGAGCAAGATTCATCAGTAACACGACCATTATCCTTGTATCGTAAAATATTCACAACAGCGGGGCTAGATTGCCGGAGGCAAGTGAAACAGAGAAATTTTCCAAAAGGCTTGTATACCGTTTACATGTTTGTTTTAAAACCTCTACCAAACAACACATACACAAATATGCAGTAAACATAAATCAAACATGTTTTTGTACCTGACCAACAGCTCATTTGCCTTAATAAAGAAATAAAAACAAAAATGTTATGAAATATTTATTAAATTTCCAGTACAAATTATGCTTTCAAAGCAAACTTCCTCTCTGGATAAACTGACCTCTTATGAAGCTCTTTTGGCGTTCTAATACGCTGTTCATGTTTTGTAAGAGCACGACGAATAGCTCTGGTCTTCTTTGGTCGTAAATCAAGAGGCTTATACTTTTTGTTCTTATACAATTTTCTCAAATTCTCCTTTTGTTTCTGGTGCATTACAATATACACACGAGCAATAGCTTTCCGTACAACACGACTACAACAAAATAAAGTTAATTTATTTTAATTTTATGCCGTAATTCTTACATCTTGGACAGTTTGGAAGGAGCACCTCCAGTAACTTTTGCTACTCTAAGACTGGTAAGCTCGGTTTTAAGCTCATCCAATTGCTTGGTGAGCTCTTTCTTGTCTCGAAGTCTTAAATCGGAACACTTTACCTTCCCCTGAAACAAAAAGGCACTTTCAATAACATAACCTCAAAAACAGATAACACCACTTTCGTCCAACAGTAACATTGTTTTTGAAAAATAAGTATTGATATCCACAAAAAACAAGCACAACTAACTAAATCTATTCAAAAAACTATTAGATGATTACTGAATACTTTGAAAATACTTGATTTAAGAAACATACCATCGTATTCTTGTGCACAGACAAGTTGAAAGAAATCTACGTAGGGGTATATCGCTCTACAAAGTTGGCTCTCCTCGAGTTGAATCTTTAACAAATATCCCTAAATTTTGTTAGTGAATTTGTTTTTTTAGTGTCACTGTCAGTCAAATGTCAATTTTACGATGTTTTAAGCTGTGGATTTAAGTGGGCGGTGTTTGCAAGTTCTGATTCAGAATACCAAATTTTTTTAAGAACACCGAAAGCTTTTTCCTGGCAGTATTTAAGTTAAAGAAACTCGCTCCAGAGACTCTAACGAAATGGCGAAAAATACGTCGAGTTCAGCCTTCAGAAAAATTGATGTTGATCAGTATAGTGAAGATAATTTTAAAGAGGATGACGGTGATCAAGGGGGTCCAGCCGGGCCAGATGAAAATGAAGTCAATAGTTTGCTACAAAAATATCCTTTTCTGCACTACAATACACGTTTCTTTGTCTTGATTTTTCCTTAATTAAACTTACAGGGAAGTATATGGAGGCTCTAAAGTCTGTATTAAGCAATGCACCATTAGGTAGTAAAAATCAACAAGTAAAGGTAATCACAGTAAAATTTTCATATTAACACTCATTAAAAATAATTTTGTATTAAAGGAAAATGCTGTAAACTTAACTCTAAGGGTCCTACTTGCTGTCAAACCATCTCAAATTGAAGAGGCTGTTAATTCCTTAAGTCCTGATTTGATAGATATCTTAATGAAATACATCTATCGAGGATTTGAATATCCTTCAGAAGGAAGTAGTGGTCACTTATTAATATGGCATGAAAAAGTTTATAACATAGGAGGTGTAGGTTGCATTGTACGAGTGTTGTCAGATACAAGGCGAGCCTAACAAGATAAGTTTTCACATTAAGCATCAATATGTATAACAGTATGACATTTCGTTTTATAATATAAAAGCTTTTACTTAAATAAAAAATGTTACTCTATTAAAATTATGTATTTAATAAAATTATTCCCAATACCATGTCATAAAAAAATGTAGGATACATAAATACATTACAATTTTGATTTTTGTGTTGTTGCTAAGAGGTCATGCATGTCTATCAGACTCTCTTCAAGTGCATCACGAAATTGTGCAGCCGTTGTACCCGGATGCTCACAAAATGCAGAAACTGCAAAATTAATATCATTCTTTCTGGGATTATAGCAACAACCATAACCATCAGGCACTAAAGGCGCATAACACATAAATCCATCACATTTAGTGGCTACTTGACTTGTAGATAAGCGCATGTGAGTACTCCTTGTAAATGAGGGGTCACTAAATATTTCTGGTATGGGAAGTTGATTTTCAATTGCTGTTAACTTCAAACCTAGAAGATGCCTATCTACACCAAAACCATTAACTGCCTGTAAATTGAAAATATTACTTGTTGTATCACATTGCTTAATTGAAAGTCATTACCTCGATTGAATATTTTTTGTGCGCATTGACAGCTTGTTTTAAAGCAGCAACTCGCTCGTTCGCGGACTTTGAATTATCCAACATTGCCTTAGCAAACGCAATGGACTCATTCGAGCACGATCTGATGGTTTCAGTTCGACCATGGATATATTTTCTTGTCGCTGCAGATTCGTAATGGGCCCCCGGTACTTTATGAATCCTAGAAATAGTGTACTCTTTAACTAATACCTATTTTTTTCTACAAATATTGTTTTGTAAATTCATTCTCCAATTCAAAACATTCGTTTACTGTATTTCATATAAAAATATATACCTTAAGTGGAAATTTAAGAGTAGTAATAATGCGATCAATTATACAAAATCAAAACATTTCAAATCAAATAACACAAACTCAGAATGTTGGAGTACAAATAACAACAGGAAAAAATTATAGTCATACAATATTAACTGCAGCCGTAAAAATAACTACAGTGACTTTTATTAACGAATCAAAATTGTTACACTACAAAATCAAATAAGTTAAAAAAAATTATATAGAATTTAAAAAAATCACAATTTAAACCAGAGCAAGCAGTATTCAAATTCCAAAAAGAACGATTTTGAAGATTAGGTACTGCTAAATATTTTTTATATACATATGTAGATACCTACTGTTCTTATAGTTATAAGGAAGCTACAAGTACCTAGAAAATTTTACATTTTATTAAATTATTAACAAACTTTACTGTGCAGTACAGTACGTCGAATATAAAGATTTCCTACTTGTAGTCTCTGAAGAGCACGGCAAGGTCCTTGTTGGAAGTGTAAACGTGGAGTAGACGTCTTTAGTTAAATTATTATTTATTAATTAATTCCAAAATTGTCATTACATGCAGTAGGTTTAAGAATAAGTATGTAAGTTTTGTTTTTATTAAATCAGAGAAATTTTAATTACTATCTGCACGATATTTTTAGAATAATTAGGGCTAAAATTTTACAACAATCTGTCCAGTAGTTTCAGAGATTATTGACTCTGTAATAAATATAGTACAGACGCTTACGCTTCGGAAGTTAGTTTTTATTGTCTGTATATGCAGGATGTAATACTACAGTTAACAGTTTTTAGAAATGCTAATTAACTGTTAACTGATAGTTAATTAATTAACGCTATTATTATAATTTGTGAGTCGCTGAGCTACCAAGAATGCTAGCAATAAAATGGCTGCACTAAAGAAATTGAAAATTGTAGTTATGGTTTCCTATTTCATTTATGTAGAAGATTTGTAAAATGTTGAACACATTCAGATAGATCACACTTTTTCTCTTAAGTTATAGTTTGAAAGAACAACTGATACTATCAACTTTGTAATTTCATCTATACTTGTTATTTTCTCAATTGGGATATCTGACGAATCGTTTTATTAATAAGAAAATAGTCTTACCTGAAAAAGGCGTATTGCATGGCAATTTGAATAAAACTGTCTGGGCTCATCTTTTGTGTTTTCACAAATTCTTTCCCATAACAGTTGAATTGAAAACAATTCATATCTAAGTTTGCACCAAGTCTGAAAAAACATTTTAAATAAACAATTTAATAAAATATAACTATAAATTGGTTACTTGTCAATATTTGAACTTGCACAGTCAATGGCTTTCTGAATTTTATCATCAACGTTAAAATTTAATTTTTCAGGTGCAGCATAGAAAGCTACATCTGGTTTATTTATGGACTTGTCTTGGGCACTACAATTAAATGAGTATTACATTATTATGATCATGAGAAATATTACATATGATCCATAATGTAATCAGTCATAACAGCAATTGGTTGCCCTTCACTTGGAGAATGCTCATATGTTAAACCAACTATTCCATCTTCACTAACAACAAACTTGAAAAAACATTATATTAGACACTTATTCCATTATTGCAAAAATTATATGTAATAATAACCAAATTATTTTTTCTTTTTTTAATACCTGAACAGTTTTGTCATACCATCGATTAGCTGCATTTGCACTACTACCACCACCATATATCAACTGCCTACTTGCTGCTGTTCTGTTGTCATCATTTTCATGACACATAGGCTTGTCTAAACAAACCAAAAAAAGAGACGTTTGAATTTCTCTTGCAGACTTTAAATTTGTTAAATCTGAAAACAAATATGTGTATGTTTTAATTTTTATTCACATAAAGAGTGTCATATAACACGTACCTAAAGTAAGATCCTGATATGCTCGTCCCCAATTGTTCCGATTATCTGATGTCAAAATACCAACAGGTGGACCTGCTTCTTGTGAATCCTCAGTTATTTGTACTAACGCATTAATTATTTCTCCAACGTTAATGACACTTCCACATTCATCAATTACTGGCAACTTGAAAAACTAAAAAGGAAGCACTAAATAGTAGTTAATTATAACTGAGGTATATAAAATCTTTGTTAACAAATCCACTTCCAGTTTGTTTGCGCTGCCAGCAAAAAAAATTCTTCAAGTAATTTTTACATGATTACAGATTTAAAAAAATACTTACATTATTATTATTAACAATCACAATATGCTTAGATTGTGGATTATATTCCAAGTTGTCACATTTAAGCCCTGGTAATCTACAGGTTCCAAAAATTTTCTTGTACTGATTCATGTCTAGAGGATCTTTTCCCATCATATCAGTTGCCATTTTACCACTAAAAAATATATCATAATAATGTCTTCCTAATATATGTATAATCAAACCTATCAATGAGTGTCTTGTAACTAAGAGCACCAGAAATGAGTTTCGCTGTATAATCAAGCCTATCTTCCTGACTGGAAAATGACTGACACGGGAAAGCAAGACCTGGACTCGAATAAACCACCACTGGGTCTCTGTATCCCAAGTATGCTACATTTAGCCACCAGTCAACCAACCAACTATCAGTCTCTTGTGCTTTCTCCACCAGAAGCTTTTGCAGTTTAGGTCCGAGACCACTTTCTGATTGAAATTGTGTCAGTAATTTTTTGGTATGGTTTAATTCAGTCTCGTTCAAAAACGGCTCAACCGATTTCAAATATTTTTCAACAGTTTGCTCCAGTTTTGGTACAGGTAAATGAGGCAAGACCTGTGTTTGCATAACAGCTGCACTAGACATTGCTAACAGTGGACTGTTTGCTTTCTGGTACATACCGACCAACTTTTTCTGAGACATTATCTGAAAATTCTCAAACCATATGGATACCTTGACGCAGTTATTTTTTTTGCACTTACCAGTCTGCTCTTTGATAACATTGTGTTATCTTGGGAATATTTTGTGTGTCTATAAATAATGTATTTAATTAAAAACCGTACTCAGATAAACGCTGCAACGATCTTAAATTAGATACCTGTCTTCAGTTTTCAACATTGTCCAAGTCGTAACACAACGTACATTCAAAACTGGAACCAAGTGAAAGTGAAAGCACCTACCTAAGGTCAAAGAATACTTGCTACAGCTGATTCCTGCTCATTTGTTAATGGTTAATATTTCAATATGGGGCAAGGTTCTAAGGTGAAGGTCAACACTATATATGCCAGAACTCGCGTAAGGCCTGTAAAAGTAACTGAACTAGAGGTAAACTGAATTATCACTTGTTCGTTTCCGTGCGTAGAATAACTATTTAGTTTGTTTTTTTTGTTATCAAATGTCATATACTAATAAGGAAACTAGACAATTTGTCATAAGGTTAATCATACACCGTGATCACAACAAGTCATAAATTATTATTTTTTGTTTCTATTGCAACGTAACAGTCATGTAACAGCCTTCGCGTAAAACGTACACACAACATAACGCACCGCAGTTATTATTTTCGGTGTCGTATATTCGTGACCTTTGTCACCTTTGTAAAAACTTTGCTAATTTGATATTACTGAGACGTGCACATTAGTAAAATAATTCTAAGTTGGTGTATTGGTGTAAATCAAGTAGTAAATAACGTCAACGTGCAAATAGAATACGAGTTTGCCCACATCTTACGTAAGGAAAATTTTGTACTTTGCCGTTTTGTATTACTTCCTGAAATCCTGAGCTTATAAGATATACTGTGGCGTAAGCAAAGTATTGTAATCGAGTCAGTCGGCCGACCCTCTACTTTTACGTTTTCTCGACCTTTCATGATCCCTAGAGTACGAAGAATTAGGTCTCCCTTTTCCGTCTGTCTGTCCGTCATACATTTTTATTAGACAGATAATCTCCGAAAGTATTTTTTAAATTTATTGTAACTTAAAAATCAAATTACAAAAAATTTAATTTTATGAAAAGAAAATACTTTGCGATGAATTTTACCTTGCGATCAATTGACTATGCGACAAATGTACGTGTGACCAATTTTCTCGACATAAAATTTCCGCGTCAAAGCACGCTAACAAAATGGCTGCAGGTCACCAAAATTGACCAACAAAAGAGTGTCGCCTTTTGTTCATATTTTGTTAATCTTCTTTGATACGACCGAGATTTTAATTTTTGATTTCAACATAACCACGCCGCTAACATTTTAAACTTTCTAACGACCGATATTGTGAACGCTACTTTGCCTACAAAAATATTAATTTTTATTTATTGATTCTTTACACTTCATAAAAACCTTAAATACTAGGAAGTGAAAGCAACTGTGTAAACCTAATAGTTTAAAAAATTAGTCGAAGATTATTTCGACAGAATTTCCCTTGCTCCAGAAGGATAAATAACACCCCCTCAATTCCTGCGCCTCGAGGGTGTAAATTCCAAAGGGGCACGGTCTGAACAAATGCAGACAATATTAAATATATTTAAAGCACATAATCAGTGGGAAACAATGTATTCTTAATTCCTAGTATAGTAGCCTGCTGCTGCATAGATATTGTAGCCGTCCATAGAGTCGAAATTTGCGAATAAAAATAAAATAAAACCGGTTCAAACGGAGCCGACGGTGGCGTGCAAAATCTGACGTCACTCTGGCACACGTTGCACAGAGACGTATTTAATATTAAATGTCATTTTTTCCGTTATGATATAATCTGTTTAATTTCTGAGCTGAATCTCGTCAATAAAATCGAAGCTCTGTTCACTGTACACAAGTTGTGGTATGGTATATTCATCGTTGCGGAGGCAGGTGGAGCGAAAAACCTAGTCATCTTAGCAGCAAACACGCCTATAAACTAGTCCACGTGGACTGTTTGTTTCCTGTCATATTTTAGTTTGCTTGAACCAATTGTGTTGCACCAAACGGTTATTACACTTGTTGAAATAAATTTTCAAACTTCCATCTTTCTCTAGATCATCGGTTTCGTAGCTGTGTGACAAATTGTTTATCGTAGATAGAAAATAGCAAGATTACAGTGACCGTAAGATTTTGTGCAAACAGCCTTAAATACACCCCTGTGTGAGGTGACGCGTGCCGCAGTGACAGAACTTGCAAGCCGTTGTCGGCTCCGTTTGAGCCGGTTTTATTTTATTTTTATTCGCAAATTTCGACTCTATGGACGGCTACAATATCTATGCAGGCTACTATAACTGTTTTGTGTATGTTTGTGCTTCGAAAGAATTCGACCATTAGCACGTCATATCGTATCAGCGCCGGCATTGAAGTACGTAACGGTGGTATTAAATACATGCAATGCATGCATATGTATTAAAAGAAACTGACATTTGATTGATTTTGTCTCTTCATCACAGAAGAAAGGACCAATTAATTAAGTAAGCATACTCGGTTTTTTTGCGCAAAAAGCATACCGAGATAATAGCAAGGTTGTACAAGAACAGGATAAATTGACTGATTCTTAAATTTTTTTCATTCATCCTGTATAAGCAAATACATGTGTATGTATTTATTATTATGCATGTAGGACTATGTTATTTTATACAATTTAAAACCCAATTACTATGTATGTACAATTTTGAAGTGACGTCATCACATTAGTGGTAGGGATGATTGGACAAATTTTGGTTAGCGTTTTATCATCTACATGATATAGGTACCTAATATAAATACAAAATTTGATAAAAATCGGCCCAGTACTTTCGGAGATTATCTGTCTACTAAAAATCCGGGACGGCAAACAGACGGAAACGGGAGACCTATTTCTTCGTCTTCTAGGGATCATGAAAAATCGAGAAAATGTAAAAGTAGAGAGTCGGCCGACGGACTCGATTACAATACTTCCTTTGCTTACGCTCGAGAAGTAAAAAGGCATTAAAAAGAACATTGCATTTGTTTTAAATCTATCTAAAGACAAAATTCTTATTTTGCATTAAAATTTGTATGTACATAATCCGTGTGTACCTATCGTTATCGTGTAGATAGTAAGAAACAGCAGAACATTCGTACAAAGGCCAGGGTCGTAAACCAGTAAGCAGAAGTCGCGAGTCATTCGCGAGTGCTTATATTATAGTTATTAACTTATTACAATTTAAATAAGATAACAATTTACTACAAATAAAAAAATGAGAACACGTAAATATATTTAGATTTATTGGATTAATCAACCTGAAGTGTGTTAAATTAATGAACGGTTTTGTTTTTCAGCGCCAGTGAAAGTTTTACTTTTAAAATAAAAACAAGTGCCTCAATCCGTTTTAGCACATGTAACATGCTTAATAGCTCTGATTTAAATGAGCACTAGTAATAATAATTATACAGGTATTATTTAATCTAAACGTAATTTTTATTACTACACCACAGCCAACTGCAACATGTCGACGATAGTGAATTTCATTTTGTGTTCTTTGGTTGTTTGTGCGTTGTCGGTATTTTACAACATAACCTACAATTGTACACCACCGAAAATGGTAAACTTGGGTGATATTTTCCCAAACTTCGAGGCAGAAACAACTGTAGGTCGAATCAAATTTCATGATTGGCTAGGAAATTCGTAAGTTAACGCAATTTATTATTTTTTTTACCCACGTGTTGATTTTAGATGGGGTGTTTTGTTTTCACATCCCGCCGATTTTACACCCGTTTGTACAACAGAATTGGCCAGAGTTATACAACTGCATTCTGAATTTACTAAACGTGGAGTAAAAGTTATAGCACTGTCTTGTGATTCTGTAGACACACATAAAAAATGGTTAAATGATATAAAAGTTTATGCTGGTTATTCGGAAGAAGGTTTTCCGTATCCAATTATAGCGGATGAAGATCGTGAACTGGCTACCGCTTTGCAAATGATTGACCCCGACGAAAAGGATGCTGATGGCATACCATTATCAGCCAGGGCTGTATTTATTGTGGATCCCAAGAAACGAATGCGTCTTTCTATATTGTATCCTGCTACAACAGGAAGAAATTTTGAGTAAGTTATTGTTATATTGTAAATTCTGCAAAATATCACTCATTTCTCTGCAGTGAAATTTTAAGAGTCATTGATTCTTTACAACTAACGGATAAACATAAAGTTGCTACTCCTGTCGATTGGAAACCTCAAGAACATGTAATGGTACAGCCTTCTGTGTCTGATGAAGAAGTTAAAACTTTGTTTCCTCTTTTGACAATTGTTGCATTACCATCAGGCAAAAATTATGTTAGGAAAACTCCACAACCCTAAATGACTGAATCTAAGTTTTATTTTAATAACTTAATTTCTATTTTTGTAACACTGAATAGTTTTTAAATAAATAGTTCAATTTGTAATTTATTGTGGAATTATGGCACTCAATTACATTAATAGGATAAACTGAATTTTTAGAACTAAAGAAAATGAAGTCACAAATAAATAAAATTGACTATGAAAACAGAAGAGATTCCAAAACAAATACATTCAAGGACTATTTTTACACATGCTATTACAATATTCACAAGGTATCACAATTCATCTTCAAAGTGATGAATGTTGTGTAAATGATCCCCATAGTCTGTAGCTTCACTACCAACAAATGTGTCATGATGTTCCAGTACTTCCTCAAAACTAAGTACATCATCATGATTATCATCACTAGCTACAAACAAATGCTGCACTTCCTCTTCTGCGATTTCCCTTGAAAATTATATTTTTAAAATTATTATGCAAACTTTTGTAAATAATTTGTTTACTCATTGCTGGGAACAATCCACGATAAAATTTCATTACTTGTAAGTTTGCCATCTCCATCTTTATCTAAATCATGGTCAAATTTTTCTTTTTCAACCTGCAACCATTCTTTATCATGTTCTTGTCCTCTGTCACCTACATACTCTTGAAAAGTAATAGACCTATCTCCATCAACATCTTTATCACGTAAAGTTTGTTCTAAAATAATTGGAAGCATGGCAGGGTGTTCTTCTGGGTGAGAAAAAGCGATCCACTCTTTGCCATCCAATACACCATTATTATTAGTGTCTGCTGCTTTCCACATCTCTTTATCATCTTTGATCAACTACAAATAAGAACAGATGAACAATGATTCAAGTAGTTAATTTTACATACATGTTCATTTTCATCTTCAATTGACAAATTCTCTTCATCATCTATACCATAAGCATCTGATAAGTATTCTTGCCATGTAACAATACCATTGTTATCTTCATCAGCATCTTCTAAGCGTTCATTTGCTTCTTCTTCAGATAACATCCTAAAAAAAATCATTTGACATAACGTTAGTGGCGTACTAATAAATATACTTGAAAGATCGTAAAATCCATGCCTTAAGTTCTTTTTTGTCAATTTGTTCATCACTGTTTAAATCCATTTTCCGCAACAAAATTCTTAAGCGTCTCTTGGCCTCTTCTGGTGAAAGATGATCATACTCTTCAGCTTCCTTATGACTACCTAAAATAGCTTCATGGTCAAATTCATTATGATGTTCACCACTATCCGAGAAATGTGAGTGGTCTCTGGGACTGTACGCCCCATCTGATTCGCGTTCTTTGTGAAGATCATTTGAGTGACTGTGCATAACACCTGCATCGCTAGTAGGTATAGAATTTAAAGTAATCACATAAACCATAAGTAATGTCATAAAATGGATACACGTTTTGGTTAACATTTTTACTAAATTTATGACAAAACCGTTTCAAATATTGTCATAATAACATTGTTTGAAATCATCTGCTGCAGTATTATTTACACCGACTATCTCTGTGGGGTTTTCTGATTAATAACTATCAACAATGATCTGTCAATTACAGCTGGTAGCCAGTGACACCAACAATAAATACAAAATAAAACCACCTCATTTGGATCACTTTGTTATATCACTAGTGTTTTTAGCTCATTCTTGTTTTAGCAGGTTTTAGTAGTAAAGTCGTAAAGTCATGTCACTATGTCTTCTGTCAAATGGCTGTCAATGTGCCAATTTTCTTTAACGTAGCTTTGTGAAATTAAAAACCTTCCGCTAATATTTCTTCTAAGATTGTTGTGAGTAGGACATTGCAAAGTTGAAATATGTGGGCAGACACTTTACTTATTGTTTTTATATCAATATGTACCGCTTTGTTGGGTGAGGGTTTAACTTGGTTAATGGTTTATCGAACTGAAAAATATCAGAAATTAAAAACAGAAGTAGAGCGACAAAGCAAAAGACGTATGTGACTTTTATAAAATTATGTATAAACAAGATATATAAATTTTGTTATAGTTGAAAAACGTAAAGAAGCTCACGGGGATTCTCTCGATAAACAACACAAAAAGAAAATTGAGAGAGAAGAAGAACGTTTGAAAAACAATAACCGTGATCTATCATTAGTAAAAATGAAATCAATGTTTGCCATTGGTTTTGCTTTTACTGCTTTACTTAGTATGTTTAATAGCATGTACGTTTTTCTGGTACCTGTTGAATGCAATAGTTTTCCTTTTTATGAATTTTAGATTTGACGGAAGAGTTGTAGCAAGATTACCATTTTTGCCATTAACGTGGATACAAGGTTTAAGCCATCGTAATCTGCCGGGTGATGATTATTATGATTGTTCTTTTATATTTTTGTATATATTGTGTACAATGTCAATTAGACAAAATATTCAAAAACTGTTAGGCTTTGCACCTTCTAGAGCAGCATCAAAGCAAGGAAACAGTATATTTGGACCTGCACCTGGACAATTTAAGTAACTCATTTTCCAGATGCTCAGTGAAGAGATATTCAACATTTAGGAATAATTTATTGTTAACGTGTGTATAAATAAATAATTACAACAATATACAGACTGCATAATTTCACAGTTTTACAGAAATCAATGTGTGCATCATTCACTAACACTTCATAATAACTGAAGGACAATGATTGCAGTGTCAACTTTTATATAATATTAATGTACATTTACAATGGAATTTCAAAATTAATGTCTAATTTGGCATCACGAGCCAAACTAACTATATTGGATAATTTGACCACCAACCGCGCAGCTTCATCCAAATTATCAACAGGCAAAATTTTCAACCCAGAACTAGCTATTAAAACTTTAGCATCATCAACATTGGTGCCTTGCAGACGACAAACAATTGGCATTTTCAGATTTAATTCTTTTGCAGCTGCAATAATACCTTCAGCAATTACATCACACCTCATAATCCCTCCAAAAATGTTCACAAGAATTGCGTGAACCTTTGGATCTGCAGTGATGATTTTAAATGCTTCCTTTACAGCTTGTGCAGTAGCTCCACCTCCGACATCAAGAAAATTTGCTGGGGATCCTCCATGAAGAGAAATGATGTCCATAGTAGCCATTGCTAATCCAGCTCCATTAACAAGGCAACCAATATTTCCATCTAAAGCAATATAATTAAGATCAAATTTGGCCGCAGCTACTTCCTTTTCATCTTCTTGAGTCCAATCACGTAATGCAAACAATTCTTTTTGTCTAAAACCTGCGTTGTCATCAAAGCGGAATTTTGCATCAAGAGAGAAATCTGTTAAAAATGCATTTTAATTAGCAACTTTTAGAAAAATCAAAACAAGATACTTACAAGTTTCTCCTGCATCTTCAGCATAAGGGTTGATCTCGATTAGTAGCGCATCTTTTTTACAGAATAAATCATACATTTTTAACAGCATGTCTGCAGTTTTATCTTTCTGTGAGCTTAAACCAACTTTAACAGCTACTTTTTCAGCTTGTTCCTTGCTCAGACCTTTACTTATATCAATTGGTTCGTATAAAATGGCATTAGGATTTTCTGCAGCTACTTCTTCAATATTAACACCACCTTGAGATGATGCTATAATTACTGGCCCCTATAAAGTAGTATTCATTACTGAAAACACCAGCATAGATATATATCCACAGTCATATCTATATGTCCACTGTGGTACTAATTACTCTTACCCTACTAATAAAAATAATTAATTTTGGCAACAATTTGCTAATTCAAAAGTATAACACAATGTAGCCCAAGATTTTTTACATAGTTTGACCCCCTAGTACTTTTCTAATAGCACTTCTTTTCTGGAATTATTATTTTTGTTTTGAATGAGAGTAACATCCACCTCAGTGGTTAAACAGAAATGACCTCAGATTCAAATATTTGGAACTTACAGAAAACGCGCGTTCCATCATAATAGCAAAGTAAAATTCTTTTCTAGGGAATTTTCTTTCAGTAACCATTACTGCATTACAAATGCGTCCTTTTTCACCTGTCTGTTTTGTGATTAAATATTGACCAAGCATTTGACCAGCAATGTCTTCAGCTTCCTCAGGGCTACAATTAAAGTTGTAAATTTTGTAAGAAGTAAAAATTAAAAAAAAAACTTACGAATACACCATTCTGACTCCTCCTTTAAGGCCATTTTTAAAGTGACCTTTGCCTCGCCCTCCTGCTAATACTTGCGCTTTAAGTACAATATCTTTAGTAGCTAAATCTTGTGCAATTTTTTTCGCTTCTTGCTTAGTTTTAGCAACTCCAAATTTTGGAACTTGAATACCAGCATCCTTCAATAAAGTATAACTAATGTGTTCATGGACATTGAGGTTTCTTGTTTGCTGTTTTTGGGGTTGCCAGTTTGAAGTCGTTGATCCCAAAACCTACAAAATTGAAATTTCTTATGTAATAAAAATTAAATTTATAAATAATTTCGACAGCAGGGCTGACACTTTTAGCTAAAAATAAATGGTCCAAATGTTCAAGGCCAAAAGGTTCCACTGTGCAGCTCAAGTTTAAACAAAAAAATCTACAGGAAATGATATAAACATGGCGTATTAAGAGTTTACTTACTTTTGTAGCATTCTTTAAAAGAATATGTTCAGCTAAAACAGCACTTCGAAGCATCGTAGCCATTGCAATCGCAAAAAAAGTTGACAAGTAACAGGGCGGACTTCACAGTTGACAAAGCTTTTGGTACTTTTGATTTGTTATTTTGGTATCGCAAGATCGCAAGTTCACTTCTTTTTAAAGTTTGTCAAAAACATGTCAAAAACTGTAACAAAAGGCGGACGTTAATTAACCGTGTTAATTCAGCACATTATCGAAAAAATAATGTTTTGATTTGATCAAAGAACATCTGTGTACAAGTAGATTACATTGACAAGTAGAACCTAGAACTTTAAAACTGTTCAGAGTTCAACAAATCAACATAATGATTGAACCTTGGCCACTAGTTCATATAAACTTTTTTTTTTATTTATTGTTTGCAATAACGAAAATGTACGATAATAATGCAATTGCGTGACAGCTTGCGTAGGTTTTTGTCAGCTGTTATATAACACAAACAAATTACAAAAAGTTTGCTTAATTTAACTGAAGTGTTATTGTGCCAATAAAAATGAAAGCAATTGATAAACAAGATACATTAGACAAGTTTAAAAATTTGTGCACTCTGACTCAATTTACATTGCAGTTTACGTTGTGATATTGAGCTAGTTCAAATAGAAGCAACATTTAAATAAACGTAAGATTACATTATCTTATCAGTCTTTCTGAGCATTGAGAATAGATTTATTAACGGTATGTCATCATTTTTTATTGTCCTTGGATTACTGCAAATAAATTATTATTATCAAGCTTAACAATGTTGAAGTGCTCTGAAGTAAATGTTACCATTCGAAAAGCCAAGAAAGAAGACATGATACAGGTTTTCAAACTGATTAAGGTAGATATTTATCACAAGATGTTCCACATCTATTACCATCATATTTAAACAATTTTGATTCAATCATAGTAACGGGAATCTGCACTTGCACCTTTTCATATAAACTTTATACTTCACTTTTTTAAAAGAACAACTTATGTAAATATATGTCATATTATTTATTGTCAGAATTATAGTATTGTGAGTGTTATATGTTTTACGTTTTAGGATCTTGCAGAGTTTGAGAAACTTGAAAATCAAATAAAAATCAATGCAGAAGTACTAATGAAGGATGGTTTTGACACCGACAATCCAGCTTTCACATGTCTGGTGGCAGAATTGTCAGATGGTCACATTATGGGATATGCACTGTATTATACCGCATATTCCACCTGGCTAGGAAAGTCTGTTTTTCTTGAAGATCTATACATCCAACCTGCTTACCGTAAAATTGGTATAGGCAAACAATTATTTATGGCAGTAGCAAAAATAGCTCATGAATCTGCAAGTAAAAGATTAGATTTTCATGTTCTCTCCTGGAATCCAGCAGGAGATTTTTATAAAAGTTTAGGCGCTGAAAATTTAACAACTTCGGAAAAGTGGCAACTTTTCCGACTAAATGAAGATGCTTTAAATAAAATGTTTACGTGAGCGTTTTTGTTTATTAAAGTTAAATTAATTTTAAAATAAACACTAGTACCATAGCAAAACATAAAATGAGCAGTATGCAGAACCAACCAAATTGATTTAAAATTGCAGTGTAAATAACTTATACTTTGGTTTTACAATTTTTAGAGACAATACTTTTTACATTTTCAAAGTGGCAAAAAATGTGCCAAGTATAAGTTTTCAGTGTGATCAATAAGAAAATGGATTATGGCTCAAACGCACTTTGTACTACACTGCGCATAAAAGCTGCTTTACAACCCATGATTTCAATAACGTTCGAATATTTTAATAATTTTTTATCTGAAACAATTTGTGCAATACAGAAATAAAATGACAAATTAACACTTATAAATTTAGATCAGATTGTTTTGGTGTATTTGGATATTGTATTTTTTGATGCACATTGAATAAATGCTCCTGTAACATGACTTGACCACCATATATGTTGCCACAAATATGACACCTTAAAAAAACCTCACAGTAGTTAATTAAATTGTTTTAAACTTGTAGACTTACTGGTATTTTTTCTTCTTAGAAACTCCGAGATGCAGTTTCTCATGAACTGCTAAATTATATCTTTCTGCAAACTTTTTACCACAAGTGCCACAACTAAAGCGCTTTTCACCAGTATGTACTTTCATGTGCCTTTTAAGGTGAGATCCTGATAATAAAAACAAACCGCAACGTTCACATTTGTATGATTTTTCCCCTGAATGACTTAACTTGTGAATATTAAAAGAAGTGTGATGAACAAATCTTTTCCCACACAGATCACACTGGAATGGAAATTCACCTGCAATTTATTAAAATAATTGTAAGATTTAAAATCTTATGTGATTTACCTGTATGTATTGGTGTATGCCTTGCAAGAGCCCCTTTCTGTGTGAATGATTTTTTGCAGTAAATGCATGTATATGGATTAATACCCTTATGCATACCAACATGGATTGTTAGTGCTTGCTGACGTTTATAAGCTTGCCCACAGATTTCACATACATATGGCTTTTCATCATTGTGCGATAACAGATGATTTTTAAGTTTTGTTAATGTTCTCCATGTTTTTGGGCATTCTGTGCACACATAAGGTTTTGCATTATCTAAATCATTCACTTTTTTTTTTGTTAAGTTTTTCTTTTCATCATTCTTTTTAATTTTTTTTAGTGTTTCTTCTGAACTCAGCCATGTAATATCATCTAGTGAAGGATTCATGTCTATTATTGATTTCACTGCCTCAGTTTTTAAATTGTGCCCTGAATCATCCAAATTAATGTGATTTATTTCTAAGTTGGTCTCCTTGAGATTTTGAATACTAACTTCTTTTAAATGGTCTGTATCTTCTTCAGTGACGGTATCTACATTTCTGGCGTCTCTTTGTTCGATACAATTACTTTTATAGTATTTGCACATGTACGTTCTGAGTTTGTACTCGATGTTTTTCACCCTTAATTTAATATTGTCTAACTCATTTAATAAAAGGTAACACATTTTACAAATTAAATAATTGGTAATAAAACACTCTTCGTCTATGCAGCTTTGTAACAGCACTAGAAGAGACGTTTGAGAACATGATGTGAACGTCTTCTGTAGGTCATATTCTGGAGTGGTTACTTCGCCAGTGCACAAACAACACAACATTTGAGCCATAATTTATCATCACAGAATACTTAATCCTTACGTAAAAACCAAACCAATTATGTACAAGTTTACGGTCCAGAATTTTCAAAGGTTAGGTTTTGTTATGATGTCAAACAGTCATACGTCAACTGTCAGAAGTGTGCGTAGCCACCTTATTGAAATCTAAAAAGATTGAACCCCAAAAAATAAAATTTGTAATTAACCTTCATAAAGTTAAAGTTTTTCAATACAAGATATTATCAAAAGAAACGAAAAGTTATCAATTAGAATTTTTCAGTGTATTCATTTTGAAATGTTGGTTGCCTATCCTGTTCTAATCGTCATTTAATTTTAATTTAACCAATCAGAGCAATCCACATGTTTTGAGATGGTCGTCGTCAATTCGTGAGCTATTCAGCATTAATATAAAACTTTCGTAATTTAGTAATTTATTGTGTGATATGTGAGGTGATTTTTAATAACAATGAAAGTGAACTGTTGGCCAATTTTAACGTTGTTGTTATTTATTTCATTAACTGCCGTTTTAGCCGGTAGAGACTTTTACAAAATATTAGGGGTTTCAAAATCAGCAAGTTTACATGAAATCAAAAAGGCATATCGTAGGTTAGCCAAAGAACTGCATCCAGATAAGAACAAGGAAGATCCTGAAGCGTCACAGAAATTTCAAGACTTGGGCGCTGCCTACGAAGTGCTTTCTGATGATGAGAAACGAAAAAAGTATGATCGGTGTGGCGAAGACTGCCTTCAGCGCGACGGAATGATGGACAGCAGTATGGATCCTTTTGCTAGCTTTTTTGGAGACTTTGGATTTCATTTTGGTGGCGGTGAACAAAAACATGAAACCCCCAGAGGCGCTGACGTGATTATGGACGTAGCCGTCACTTTGGAAGATTTATACACCGGAACTTTTATTGAAATAACAAGAAATAAACCTGTGATGAAAGCAGCTAAAGGTACACGCAAGTGTAATTGCAGACAAGAAATGATTACAAGAAATTTGGGGCCCGGGAGATTCCAAATGATGCAACAAACAGTTTGTGATGAATGTCCTAATGTTAAACTAGTCAATGAAGAACGAATTCTGGAAATGGAAGTAGAGCCAGGAATGGTAGATGGACAGGAAACGCGGTTCACAGCAGAAGGTGAACCTCATCTTGATGGGGATCCTGGTGATTTAATACTCAGGATCAAGACACAACCTCATCCTATTTTTGAACGAAGGGGGGATGATCTTTATACTAATATAACCATTAGCCTGCAGGTAAGAATGTACATTACAGTAGTGATAAATTTTTATCTATTTTTTTTTTTTGTAGGATGCATTAGTTGGCTTTACAATGGAATTACAACATTTAGATGGACACATGGTTTCAATAAGTAGAGATAAGACAACATGGCCCAATGCCAGAATCAGAAAGAAAGGAGAAGGCATGCCTAATTATGACAATAATAATCTGCATGGTACATTATATATTACATTTGATGTTGAATTTCCTAAACCAGAGCTTTCTGAGTCTGATAAAGAAGGTACTCATTATATTACACATTTGATTATTGAAATTACTGATTTTTATATTTTGTAGCTATAAAGAAGATTTTAAATCAAAGCTCAAACAACAAAGTATACAATGGACTTAGAGGATTTTAATTTATAAAATAGTCATTTTTGTAAATAAATTACAAAGACTAGTAAGTGAGGTGTGCTTGTGTGTACATGTGAGATAATTTATTGCCTGTTTTGTTTTGTGTACAAAACCCATACCTGTTCACTAGAAATTTTTTCTACAGAATTTACTTTTCTTTGTTGAGTTACTTATGAATTGTATAGGACAATTTTGTAATATATTGTATTTACCATTTGTTGGTCTTTTATTACGTTGTGAATATTGTTGGGCATGCTCTGCATATAAAATAGGTACATATTAACACCATAATAGAATGATATTCACAGTTCATTTTAGTTTTCAGAAACGATAGAGGAATGTTACAGATAGGAACATCAAGTGGGTGTAACGTACATGTTTTATCAAATTGCAGAAACATTAATGCGACGCGTTATTTGTTAAAGTGATAGGTACGCCAACAGTTGGTGTTTTTTTGTGAACTGTTTATATTAAAATATGTAAGTACTTCTAAATCTTACTACATACATTTGACAAAAACAAAACAAAAATAAAAAAATATATTAAAAAAATCCAATGTTAATAAGAATTCATAATTTTTTGTGTTTTTCGTACAAAAAAAATGAAATGTCATCATTTTGTTGGAGATCAATAAATAAAATTTTGTAAATTTTCTGTAATCATCACAATAAAATGAGTGTCATCTTACCAACATTTTAAACAAGTTTACTTTTTGAGAACAAGTATGAAATATGGTTCTGCATTTTTTATTTTTTTTGACAACTTATTAAAATAAAATAGGTAACGTAAAGGAGTATGACCTATTGTGGTATGTGTACATATTTCATATGAGACTGTTAATAAATTTTAAAATGTTTGTTATGTAGTTTTAAGACATTAACATTTTGTCCCTTTACAATTTTTTTATGATAACCCGTATGCATAAAGTTGAAACGTGATTTATTTATTTGATAGATTTACCATTTCAATTTTTCGGCGCAGATTACTTTAACGAATGTCTTAATTTCATGTTTTCTCTGCGTTTCACGGCCTGTGGAATAGTCGGTCAGTCTTCGCGTTTTTGTGTGACCGCACCTCCCCCCATCTCAAGTTTAATAGTGAATCGATATTTTTAAATTCACGCATACGAGAGTTATCGTAAAAAATAAAATTTTTTGGAATGAAATTGTGTAATGTACTTTAGAACCTACATAACAAATTTTTTTCGAATTGTGGTACCTAATACCTCTATACATGAATTTAGTGATTACAGAATTAAAATTTGTGTTTTCATTTACAACATCAACGCTATTGGGCGTAATTTTTGGACACACAGCTAGAAGAGCGTTCACTGTGCAACTGAAAAGCGTCGGCAACTGAATTTTTAGTATTTAAAAAATAACGATCTAACCCCTTATTACAGATGATAACTTAAAAATTAATGAATAAAGCGATTTTTTAATTACGAGGCACACAATAATGTTGTCATAACGTTAATAGTGCATGTATCGAAATTGATATAAATGTATACTATCTACCTATCTACATTATTTGTCCCACGAGAAAAGTGTTCAGATTAATGATTGGAACAAATACTTTTCAAAAATAATTCATTATAATTACTCATTACTTTTAAAAGTACTTTCTGCACTTTGAAAAATTTGATGAGGAGACAATTTTAGATATTTGTTGTATAGGTACATTATTTTTTCTAACATCCAAAGGGTCAAGAAAAAACGCGTTGGAATGAAAAAGGCAGTGAACGATTTATTTTATTAACGCAATTGTTACATATTCACATCAATAAGTTAAAATAAAACTAATAAATACTTCTAAATATTCTTTTCACTGAGGCGCTAAATGGAATTGTTGTATTATATTTTATAAACATGTCTCTAAAATATGGAGCACTTTGATTCAATAGATCTAGTCTAATTTTATTCTTTAAAAAATGATCAAAAAGTATCTTTATCAAATCTTCATCTGAGGGAGTTTAATTATCTAGAGGAAATTTGAAAAAATCCGCTTGGACATTATTGTCCACAACAAAAGTTGGGGAGCTAACATTTTCCAACTCAACTGCATTTCTATGATGATTTCAAATACAATAAATATTTAGTGAAATTAAACTTAATCCTATGAATACAACAGGTACCTATAGTTTTTGTCATTTCCATTGAAACACCACCTGTTAATCGTAAATTTGGCAATGTTCATATTCAGACAATTTTCGAATTAAAAGCCGTTGTCAATCAACCGAAAGCTGTTACCAATTGCTAAATTTTAAGCAAAATCAACAGGTGGTGTTTCAATAGAAATGGCAAAGACAATACATGAATCTTACCAGTCAAAAATGAGCCAATGAATTACTTTAGTAATTAACCGAAAAACTTAAGTTTTGCAAAGTAAGTGCTAGCTGAAATATATTATTACAGTACTGATATTGATATAAACTAATACTATACATATGGTTCAATTTTATTTGAAGAAATTGATTTGTTTGAAATTTATATTTTTCGAGATTTTTACAGTCTTATAACAGGTTGAAAAGGGAAAAAAACTGGATGTTTTTATATTTTCCTATTAAAATGAGTACAGGTAATACACGCGTCACACCAAAAGATGTGGAAAGAGATTATTATACATATTTTGTAAAAAAGTTCACAAATGCAACACTGGCAAAAATTGTGTTTTACAAATTACACAAAACATTTGCCAAAATTGTTTTTTTTTCTTCTTGTTAAGTAAAGTTTTAAAGCAAATTTCAAAACTATAAAGTGATATTTATAGATTTAGTTTAACTAATAACAGAGCATCACGGATATCAACCAAATCAATGCATCTCAAAGTCTTTAAAATAATATTTGAAGAGCTGTATCATGGTTTCCTAATAAATTCGCTTTAGATTTTAACTCCCTACTAGGTTAATCTTCTCTTTGTGGGGACGAACCAGGTATATTAATAATCCCAACAGGTACGTAAACGATTCGTACATCGTTGTGAATTAAAAGTACTTGTAAAAGCAATTATAAAAATAATTGAATTACTCACAGATTACAATTATTCATTACTTCAAAGGTAATTGAATTACAGTAATGAATTATTTGTCATTGAATTACTTCCGACCATTGCTTCAGATCATAACAAAATTTTAATGATAAATAAAGCTTAAAGCATAACAGCCTACACTGTCTGTGGTTTAGTAACCCCTAATTCACCTCTATTTTATTTTAAAACTTTGACGCTAAATAAAATGAGCAGAATCAAAAAATAGCTCAATTACAGAGCATTAGCGAAATTTAATTTTTCGTTTCTATTACAATTTTGTATAGTAAATCGCACATTTGAAATATGTAATTAGAATGCTCTTTGTCTGTGGTTAATACACATACATTATTATTGCGTGTGAGTATGGTGTGTAATTTTTCTACAAAATTAAACACAAAAGGATAATAGACTAACAAACTAATAACTAATCTTACACCACTACTTGGGTAATAAAATTATTCTTCATTACATTCTTTTTCTTTTTCACTTTATACAATGCATCTTGCGCCCTGCTGAAAGTACTTCTATCGTTTTCATCTATTTTCTCTAAGTTTTATGACGCCTAAAATACGAAAAAATAGGTCGAACGTTTCCATCCGTTTGTCGTCTGATTTTGTCGATTTTTATTAAACTGACACATATATCGTATTCCGAAATTATTTACTGAACCGATTGTTGTCAAATTTTATATGTATTGTTACGAAATAAACCCATACGTATGTAGGGCATTGATGACTCATTGTGGGTGATGGCGGCCGGAGAAGAGCCTGGAAGCGGTGATGGAAACCTTCGAGAAGGACCGCGCTTTTGTTTACATGAGAACCACCGTCGGGAGGAGTTAATGTATTCCAGACAATGTTATTATTGTTATTATTATTTTTATTTTATTCTATTATGTTCCCCAATGAGCTATTCGCCATTTTTTTATTGTAGATATTTCGAAATCAGGCTGTATCGTGTAAGGTGTGTGAACACCCAGTTAAATACTTAAAATTTCATAAAAGTAAGTCTGTAATTAATTAATGAAGGAGACTTTACGTCTTGAAACATATTGAAAAATCCCATGAGCCAAAGTTAGGCACTCCTAAAATAATAATTTATGGCATGGCTATTTACCCTTTCAATAGAGCTCCTAATGCTTACGGTAATTGAGATTGGAGGCCATTCGCATTCAGCTTTGTAGCGTCTACAGAGATGCAATTTAACAACACAATGAAAACGTAAGAAAAAAGTTGGTTGAAAGTTATTTTAACAGAACTTCCCTTGCCCGCTTCTTTGAAAAATGATAAAATTTTATTTTGCAAATTTTCTCTTGTGGTAACTCTTATAAAGCAAAAAAAAATGAATGCATTAATAAACCACAAGCATAGACTCATAATGTTGTGCAGATTTTATATGGGATGTATCGGGTAAAATTTACTGATACGTCACCAACTTGGGGTTAGAAGGAAGGAGTTTAATTATTAACGATTTATCATGCCTACGAAAACTTTAATAAAAGTTTGCGAAATCTCGAACCATTCGGTTTTCTGCTTCCAAAGTTTAATTGTATAAAATGTTGTTATATTTACAGTTCTGACTTTTTTCCAAAAATATGAATGTCTAGGCTAAACTAAAAACTGATACATAAATCACAAGTGTAGGAGTGTGTTACTTTATAAAATTTAAATAACATTTATTAGACCAAATCGTAGCGAAGATGACGTCATAAACTTTTAGGAGGGCCACAAACAGATAAATTTTGAATAATTTAGGAGGAGTTTTGCAATTTTAGAGGTAATTTGTAAAATGTTATTTTTTATATAATTTTGATTTTTTCGAAAAATCTGGACGTCTAGGAAGGCGTAAAAGTTTTGATTAACGATTTACCATGCTTACGATAACCTTAAAACGTCTGCATTCGGTTTTGCAATTTCAAAGTTAAATTGTAAAACGTTGGTATTCATTTTTGATTTTTTTTCAAAGAATCAAAACGTATTCATAAACTACAAACGCGATTTAAATAATATTTGATATTGTAAAATTTGAAGATGACGTCATCCCATTGTAGGTGGGGATATAATCAGACAAATCGTGGTTAGCGTTTTACCATCTACACGATATTCTTAACATTATCATCGTGTTACTGTACTATATTTTGACCTGTATTATTATAATTATATCTTTGACGTGCATAAATTGTAAGTAATATGATGTAAATAAAGATTTGTTTTCTTTACTTTTACATACCTACGTATCTACAAAATTTGACAACAATCTAAACGCCCTACAGACAGACAGACGGATAGAAACAAGAGATGTACTTTTTTCGTACTCTAGAGGTCATGAAACGTCGATAAAACATTCGTGGAACTGTTACATTGTATCAAAAATTCTAGAGTGGGTAAAATTTTGTGGCGTATTGATATGAAAACGACACAGGAATAATCCCAGTATATTCCATTAACTTTGT